GTGAGGACTTTAATCGATAAGGTCCCTATGTTCCAGCTTCCCAACCGCATCCTTGACCCCTGGGTATTTCTTGCCCTCCACGCTCGCCCCTCTGCATGTTGGAACCCTGACATACTTCTCACCAAATCCGAGTGAAGATGTTGCGCCTTGCCTTAGGGCAAGGACCTTAGCCCATTTATCATTGCACCCAGGATCCGATGCAGCGCCTTGCCTTGTGGCAAGTGTAACACCTCGTCTCGAGCCAGTATGTTAACTTACTTTTTGGTAATAAAAGCGCTACACATTGAATTAAATAAGCGAAAGACTTATTAAAAGTATCACAATAGCTTATATTAACTACGTGACTTAACTTTTTCTTTTTAATTTCCTTTTATGTGATTACTTGGGTTCATTTATTATTTTAAACTTTAATTCTATAGAGTCCCATAACCATATAGAAATTTATTTAACTAACAACATTATAACCAATTATCAAATCTCTGCCCGAATATAATAATGAGTATTATTTCCGACAGAAACCACGAACAGCATAACGGTTGTAAACTGAACGTTTCTAGGGATTATGTTCCCATGATTTCTTTATACCTAATGGACAACAGTTCAATACATCTTAATCAGTAAATAAGAATACATCTCGGCTTCTACTGTATAAATATATACATAAGCCTCTCCAAGATGTTTACAGTAAAACATATTTACAGATAGTACCAAAACAAACATCTATCAGCCTACTGCTCCATGCAAGACTCTACTCTCCACGCACTGGTTCCTTGCCTAAGGATCCTTCTCCAGCGGCTACTGTACCTGAAATATATCCCCATAACGCGGGATGAGAATGAATCTCAATAAGCTCGGGGTTTATAGAGCTGTCTCCACCCACAAGTTCACTTTTTGCAGAACATGTCAGACACAAAACATAGACCACACCATACAGTCTCTTAATTATTTAATTAAGTATTTTACACAAACATATTTACATACAAAATCTTTTACTTTCTTTCTCTGATAATTTAGAGTTCCTTTGATTAATTCAAAATTTATTCAGAACTCCTATCAAGATTATCAGCAACATCATGTACTTTTAACAATCAGAAAGATTAGACATTCATGCTAATCAAATTAATCAGAAACTCACTTTAATCAGAACTGCCAAAATCACACAATCACAATTATCAAAACACATCATAATATCATATATTTCTGATACACAAAGTATCCGGATGCACTCATCTAGTACGACCAATGTACTCAATGGTCTCGTACGTGGAATTCATAAATATATATATATATATATATATATATATATATATATATATATATATCCATTGCTCTTTACTCAAATATCACCTCTTTATAATTACTTCCTAAGCTTGATTACCTTACAGGAGATTTCTCAAATATCACTTTTTTATATTTAGTGTACTATAAACTAGGTTCAACTTCAGGTTATTATCTTATGGGATAACCTATAATAGATTCAGGAATATATAAGTTAAGTTATATGATGAGGAAATGAATTAGAATTTTGTCAAATTTTAAAGGATATTTAGAATAGTTGTGTATTCAGGATTCATGTGTATCAAGTTGTGTATTTAGTATTTATGTGAAACAAGCTATATGTTTTCTGCTATAATATGTGTTCTAACCTTTCATGCAGAAAGTGAACTCATGGGCGGAGAATCCTTCCATAAACCCTAAGTTTACTGAGATTTCATATCTCACCCCGTTTGGGGTCATATTTTCAGGTACTCCAATGGATGGTGAGTCTTCAAAGGGTAAGAGACATGTTCAGGATGGTTAGCAGACACAGCAAGATCAGTTAGCTAGTTAGTATTTGGGATATGTACATATATGTATATGCTTTGTGTTATGAGCAGTGATGATTATATGGTTCTGAGAGCGTAATATGTTATTGTCATGCATATATGTTTAGTAGGATATGTAGTTTGAGAGGCAGGTGCAAATTTAGTACATTTGTATATATTTCGTATGAGGATATATGTCCATGTATGATGGACATGTTATGTATATATGCTTTGGGAGACATATTTGTATATGAGGTTATACAGTTATATGTTTGGATTTCATATGTACATGTAGGTATATTTGTAAATTTAAGTTTGTTAAGAATTGGCACGGAGCCAAATTGTGTAAGAATCCATGGAGTGATTCTATAATTATTGATATGGATTTTTTGTGTATTGGACTTTTCTGGATTCCAGGTTTAAGATCATTGTGGGATATGTTGTTGGTGAATTCTATCTGACATAGTTTCTATCATTATCTTTAGATAATGATTTGATCATGAGATATGCTCACCACATGTTTGTTAAGTATGGATTCTGTGCAAGTATGAGACTGTATAGTTTATAATAATTGCAAAAAAAAAAAGTATACATGGTAATATGTAAGAATTAAACATAAAGGAAAAAGTTAAGTCACATAGTTTCCAGAGAACTATTGTGATACTTTTAATAAGTTTTTCACTATTTTAATCAAGTAGGACGTGTTGTTATACCATTTTGCATGTTAACAAACTGGTGGCCGGCGGGGTGTTACACCTTCCAATTATCCAATTTAATAATGTGGGTTATTATATTCACATCATTTTTTCAAAGAGTTTAACCTCAAAATCAAACACATACATGTCCACTAACCCAACATATAGCTGGAGAATCTCGTCCTCCCACTCCCAAGTTGCTTCCTCTTGTCATTTAATACCTTGTTATTAGATGTAACCCTCAACGTCAACTATATTATTTGGAGGTCTGCTTAGCTTGACCATTTATCCGTGGATTATAAGCTATGTTAAGTTTTGACTGAGCAACTAACAATAATCCGTAGAACTCGGCAACCTCAAGAAGTGCTTCAGTCACCATTACTTAAGACCCTCAGAGGGCGTTTGGTTGAAGAATTTTTTTTGGAATAGTAGGAAAATGAGATAGATAGAGAAATGATTGGAAAGATAGATAAAGTGAGATAGGTAGAAAAATGTAAAAAAAAGTTGTTTGGTGGGGAAAAACTTTATGGGGAAAATTAGGTAACTTTATGAAATCAACAGTACATTAAAAGCCAGATAACCGGTTTTCCGAAAAATCCCACCTTCAAATTGGATTTCTAAACAGTGCGGATATCTATGTTTCTCATAAATCCAGACAAATTGGATAGATGGGTTTTTGGTGGAAAAACGTTGAAACAAACATGGTGTTTCTAAAAGCCATACTTGAGAAAGATAGATATCCCCTAAAAAGCTCCCAACCAAACACCACCTCAAGCATTTTTATAAAGTCTGCCAGTCTCATCCCATTCATTTTAATCTAGTGCACTTTTTATGTAGAGTATTCACTTTCATTTTAGAAAGTGAGCTAACCTAATTAGCTTATCATTAATGACCCACATGGGATCTTACTCTGCCTAGTTCAAAGGCAATTCAATGATAACTTTTCAATCATAACTTTCTTAAGTATGCTACCTCGTATTTATTTCTGAATCAATAAGACTAATCAAACTCATCTTCCTTCAAAAGCACAAGGAATAAATGATTATAAGAGAAACCATGAGTTCTTTTTTTTACTCTTTATTTTAGTTCTTTTTTTTACTCTTTATTTTAGCTCTTTTTTTTATCTCATAAAAATATTTTCAATTTATAATATTGGGAAAAAATTACTTTAAATTTAATTGTGTTTATTGGTTATAATTTGTTTAATTTGATACAATCTTCTAACATTGGTAAAAGATGAAAACAAATCTTGTTTACATTTAAAATGGCAAAGTCTAAAATTTTGTTAATTTGTTAGTAAAATTTTTCATGTTAAAGAACCGTCATGTTGCCAATTTTTTATTTTTATTATTCTTTTACTGACGGAAATAAATCGTCATGTTAAAGAAAATTTTGACAAGCCCACCTTTCCTGACTGTTGCCTGTCCACAATTAGAGGTGTTCATCAACCGTTTCAAACCGCAGTGACCGAATCAAAAAACCGATAATCGAATAAACTAAAAATCGAAAAAAAACTGCAAATTTTAATTGGATTAGATCGGTTTTCAAATTAGTTGATGAAAACTGATCCAATCCAAACTTATCCAATATATTAATTTCTTTCTACCTAGTTGGATATTTCCCTAATTATAGTCCAAAAATTTCTAAACCCAAGATCCATTAATCCATCAACTAAACCCAAGAAAAAATTTAGTCATATCTCATCAACAAAATTTTATCTGTATAGAACTTCACATGCCCAAAATATATATATCGTTTAATGATACTTTTGTATTTCAAAAAAAAATTACAATTTTAATATATACAAAAGATGTTATTTGAACAATAATTATGAAACAAATTTTAGAATTTTCATAAAATCAAAAATCGATCCAATCCAAATCAAACCGAAAAAAATTAATTTGGATCGGATCAAATTTGAAAAAAAAAATCCAAACCGAATGGATGATTACATGATCAAACCGAAAGAATTGGATCGGATAATTTTTACTTTCAAAACCGATCTAATCCAAACTGCGAACACCCCTATCCACAAGCCCGTCGTCGGTCATACTGTTTCTAACAGGAATACTTAAGAGACAGACCAAGTTTAGGGTCTCTTTCAAATTAAAATTTCACTATAATTAATTTTAAACGAAGTAATTTGTATTATAAAAAACACGAATTTGAAACAAAAATGTTTCGATAAGAAAGTAAAAAATAATAAGAGTAAAATATAAGAGTTTTACAAAATTTTGGTTTCCACATTAAAGTTAATCCTATGGTTTAAAAAGTTTAAAATTTTTGACTCTCCTCGATTCTACAATTTGATTGTGAGCCAACACCTCAACTAACAGTATAACCTCATTTTTCACGCCACAAACGTAAATAAGAGAGACAAAACAAACAGGCACGTAGTTGATGGCCATAATCACCATCTCCTATAGCCTAGAAATAAAAGGACAAAATAATTCAAGAGAAGGAAAGAACCAAAAAAAAGAAAAAGAAATATCCAGACCACTTATACTCGACCCATCAAGGCAAAACATAAATTGAATGGCCATTACAATACACTCTTCAGTGTTCATTTAAGCAGAAATTGACATATTGACTAAATTTCAAGCTAGTTTTTACGGTAGGAATATTTCAGAAGACACCTAAATAATATATTCTCAAAGCTAAATCCTATATTCTGGGCTCAAACCTTAACTCTCTGACATTTCCCGAAACCTGGCAAGTGCTTTTTTATGAATAAGCATTTTGTAACTATCCCCTGCCTGCACCTCGAGGCTAGGGTCCAACTTCTTCTGCTGACTCCCAAGTCCTGCTCTATTTTCCATGGCTTGCGCCTGGACAGGCTCTATCATTCCGCTTCCATCCTTTCCTAGTCCCTGTGCATTAAATTAACAATAATACAAGAAACAACCACAATGTGGAAATGTTAGAATGATTTAGCAGATATGTTGTCAGAGAACACCAAATGTCCAGGGGTATCCCATCCAATTCTTGAGGTGCAAATTGAAGAAGAAAATATATGTAAGACAGGAAAATACTTTCTAGTTCTAGGATTAAATCACAAGCACATCCCCAAAAAGAGGAAATTTGGAGCACTGCAACTGATTGCAAATCTAAACAGACGACTTAATCAAGCTCTACCAAACCCCATTAATACCAATAATAAATTTTAAACTCGTGGTGCAGAGGGAATGAAATGATACCAAGCCTTCCTGCCATCCCATGTTGCGAAGCATCCGATTACCAACATTGTTTTCATCAATTGCTTTGTCTGCCGCAATCACCTCAAAAGTATCAAGATTGACATCTCCAACCATGCGTCCTCCACCAACCCCAGGAGGAAAAGGCATTGGATCACCCTTCCTTGACGCAAAATCTCGATCTTCAAGGATACATATGGTAGAAACAAATATTTTCTCAAAAGTCAATCTACATATCAGATGTAAATTTACCAGTGAACCTATTGGCTTTGCAAACTTACTATTTGGATATTTAAAATTTTCAAACATTTGGTAATATTTGATACTAAGCATCAATAATTTGCTATAAGAACACTTTTAAAAGTAGCATTTGGTCTTTAGAAAGAGGGGGGGAAACATAGCATAGAAAATATCAATTTTACATGCACGCGCACACACATAATCAAGTTTGATTTCCTTATGACCTTACGTGAAGATTTCTTCAATTTCCCTTAAAAATATTCTTCACACCTCCAATCACCAAATACACTTTCCCCAAGTATAACTAATGTCTTACTAGTGTCTTACTTAACACCTAATGTAAAACTAAAGTTTCCTATACTCCCGGTGCCTTTTCATCAGGCACCAGACAATGTTTTGAAATATGAATAACTAATTAATGTCAAGCAAATACTTTCTCTTCACCTCAGCAGTTTTTCAAAAGTTCTTGAAGTCAAAAGCAATGAAACCCAATACAAATTAAGCAGTCTTACTTGAATCCCCAATTTCAAGGTCAGCCAAATCATTCCCAACTGAAGATGATGAGCCATACAAACTTCTCCTCTCAGCCGCACGATCCCTGTAGGTTGTTTGAGGTTGTTCCTTGTGAGTTGAAGCAGAATGAGGCATTTCTGAAAACCGTCTTCTGCCACTTCCAACAGCCACAGACGGTGTATATGAACTCAGGGCAGAGACATCTGTTCTAAAGGGAGTAGCAATCATCTGCATATCAACATTTGCTGAAGATGATGCAGCAGCTGTAGAACCTGAATATGAAGTATCGGATTTAACAATCCCTCTTCCTGAGCCCCTTATAACCCCCATCACAGTGCCTCCAAGGCTATTACTAACAGGACGTGGCTGTGACAGAGAATCAATAGCAGTAGACTGGGCAAGCGTTGTGTGAGTTCCCAGATTAGATGCATTAGTTTCCCTTACTGTAGTCTCATTTTTTAACTTGTTCTTTACAGAATGTCCAGAAGAATATGACCTATCATCAGCAGAAACAGATTGTTGATTGTCCTCAAGAGCCACTCGAGTAGCCTGCCCCTCATGGCTCCTCTGCTTCCACATTGTCAACACATTGTTCATTTTTTTCTTGTTTGCCAGAATACTGCTTTTAGAGGCAAGTTTTATCTCCTTTGATTTTTCTTTTTCTTTCTTTTCTGCAGCCAAAGCAGCTGCTGCAGCAGCCTGGACAGCATCTGCCAACGAAGCTGGCTTCTCAACTGATGCAACAGTAATAGCTGGTGCAGAAATCACCACCTTTTTAATGCTCGAACCTTCAGATGCCTTAGATGGTTCAGACTGGTTATTAGTTGTTTTATTCTGATCTTGATCAGTGCAAGGAATGTATTGCTGAGTTTGGTAGTCATATGAATACCAAATCCCATTATTACCATCATAGTAAAGACCTACATATCACAATGTAGAAAATAAAAATAAAATGAGAGAATAAAACAACTTTTTGACAAGTATAATAGTGTTTCCAAGTCATTATGCCAGTCAAAAGATAGGCTCAACCAATAAATGCGAGCTACAGCATGACACTAGCATATAAAGTGTGTGCAGTGGGAAATAGATCCTCTCATGTGTTATTTAACATGACCATGTCATGTGAGAGGAGCTTAACCATCAATCAACAAATCAATGGTGATGATTTTGTAACTTCCTATCCCAATGTTTTTTTCTCTCATTGATACACCATTGTATGGTTAGGATTCTCCCACATGACATGTTCATGTTAAATAACACATAAATGTTATGCACTGGGAAATTTTATTTATGGTAGCTCGCATGTATTGGTTGACACCAAACACCCACACATACTAGGCAGACATGGAGATTGGCCTTCTGCCTTCTAACAGAACCCAACCACATGAAGGCAAAAAGGGAGAAAAGGGGAATGAATGCAAGAAAAGAAATAGCCTGAAAATTTACTGGCACTACCACACCAGTAAATGTAAGCGCAGAAGCTTAATTAACTTCAACATGCATGTTTTGGGTAATCTCTAAACTTGCTTTCAGCTCATTAAAAAAAGGGGTCTGAATAAAGGAACTAACACAATCTAAAAGTAACTCAAGAATTATTTAAATAGTAGCAAAAAGTTCTTTTAAGAAACTTTAAAGATGTTCCATGATATAGGCTTTTCCGATCAACTCAACCACGATACATACCAGTATTCCCATCATAGTAAAACCCAGAAGCAGCATCATAATAATAACCCGAGGCTTCATCCCAAACAAAGCCTGATTGTGGAGCACCAGCTTCTGTGCCAGTTTGCTCTGAACCTTTAGATTGTTTGTCATCTGGATTGTATTCTTTTGGAGTCCATCCCACAGAATCATACTGAAGATCAGGGAAAAGCACAAGACATCTATCACATTTAGGATAACTTGACAGTATATCAAAACTACAACTAAGAATAAGAACACACAACTTCATTAAGAAATACATAAGATTAATAAGGCATATATTCATTAAGAATCAGTGAGAAAATACAATCAAATAGAATCAGTGAGAAAATACACATAGTGAAACTCCCAACACAAGGGAAAAATAAATCGCCTAGGAGCTGTTTGTCAAACCAGAAAACCAGCTAAGAACTATTTAAACTAAATATAATACATAAACCCATATTGACTTGAACAGGTTAAGAAATATGCTTAGATTGCATATAATCTGATTTTCAATTATTAATACCGTATTGTTTTACAAATCTCCTTTTTTTTTCCTTGAAATTTCAAACTGAGTAGAGGAGAAAATATGAAAGCTTTGTATCCAAAAAATAATTAGATTAAAAACATGTTGAATTTATTAAACAATTATTTACTTAAAAATTGTCAAATAAGGAGATCTTCGATAATGTGATGGGCTTGAAAGTGATGAGTAGGTTGGTTAGTTTGATAGGGAAATCTTCTAGAATATTCTTAGAGGAGGGAATAAAAGGAGAGAATGTGTGGAGTGGGGTATGCATGTATTGAGTGAATATTGGGGATTTGGGTATCTTTTAGAACCTAGGGTTATTGATTCAGGGTTATTGATTCTGAGGGTGAGCTTGGGAAGGGTATTTTTAGTGTCTTTTAGTGTCAATTGGTGTAAAAAAGAGGCTATGCCTCCATTGATAATAAAGTCAGGGCTGTAATTTTGGGTTCCATCATAATGCCACGCATCTTTTCTGCTTCAGAAAATTGGAACAAGTCACTCTTTTTGTTCTTAAATTTGAGAAATAGATGCTTTAGCTTTTGAGCAATTTTAAGTCTTGCTTAACACATTTATTATGAAGCAAATATTTTTTCACAATCTTCGCAATGCATTTTTCTGGTGAAATATCCGAGGCAGAATCCCTGCTATTTTCCACCAGATTCCCTCTACTTATTACAATTTATTTTTTGGTGTGACGTATAAGGCCTGATAGTATAAGCTTATACTATACGTTATGAAATTTTCAGTTGTTTGGTGTGACCATCGTATAGTATAAATTTATACAGCAGGATCCTATAATACATCAAAATGATGTATAACTTAATCCGGCCTAAGGGGGAGGGATAAGGCCTGATAAGAAATTGGTGTATTAACATCGTTGACCAGTGTAATTCTCAAAAATTAATATATTACTTTAATATTAATATATTAAAATAAAAATTAATTTTTCAATATATTAATTTTTGAAACATTGAATATTTTTATTTTTATAAAAATTAATTTATGTTTTGGACACACTGATCAATAAATTTTTATAAAATATCATGACATTTTTTGAAGAATTATATAAATTCTTTATTAAAGGATATTTTTAATAAAAATATTTATTTTTATCCTATATAGTATTATACAATGCGTTACCAAATATCAGATGATATTATCTTATACAATATATTACTTTATACAATACCGTGCCAAACGCTGGATAGTATTAATATTCAATCAAGTCTTATACAATCAGGCCTTATACTATCAGGTCTTATACTATCAGGCCTTATCCTATACTATGCACCAAACATGCCCTTAGTTCAACTGTCATGCCAGGAAGTTGGAGCTGAAGTTATGTACAGACAACAAAAGTGACAACATGGCTAAGTTTATCTTTAACCATACATATAAACTACGAGACAAATTCATAATATATAAGAAAGAGAATAAAACACCTGTTGAGAAAAAGCTGCAGCCTCAATAGCAGCAGCTGCAAGACTGCTTGATTGGGAAATTCCTGATCCAGGGCCCAGAATACTTTTAGCATATGCTACTCTTAGAATCTGCCCATTCTTCTCAAGTGTTGTTCTATTTGTTGCCTCGAGAGCTTTGGTAGCATCCTCCACCTAAAGATAAAAGTCTTGCCAAGTCAATACCTACCTAAACACCTTCTAACAGGCAACTATTCCATGCCAGGCTCCCCCCTTACTACCCACCCCGTTTTCAAGAAAGCAAATAACCAAAAATGTTAAAATGAAAAGCATCATTTGCAAATGATCCCAATAGCAAACACAAACAGATAGCTAACAGTGAATATAAACAAATATAGGGTCCGTTTGGATGAGCTTTTTTTCAGTCGGAAGTTACTTTTTTTTCCCAAAAAGAAGCACTTTTATTTTAAAGTGTGTTTGGATGCTGCTTCTAAAAAAAGCAAACGTCATAAAAAAAAGTCAAAAACTTACTTTTTTCATAAGCTAAAAATTTTAGCTTCTTAAAAAAGCAAAAGTCAAAAGCTAATTTTTTTTTTCAAAGAATAAATATTTTTAAAAAAATCTAAATAGTTTTAACTTTAATAAAAAACACTTTTAAAATAAGTAAGGCATAAAAGTAACTTTTTTTTAAAGGCAATCCAAACGCACTCATAATATGTATATATCATTCACTTTCAAAGTATCACTTAAACAAAAAAATCCAAAGAAATCCTTTAATTACGGGATTCTAAACAATGTCCATCAAAGAAACCAACAATGTCACCACAAAAAAGAAATTTATGTCTTCACTCTTCAAATCACTTTATAAATGCACCAATTTATATTCAGGAAGATGATATCATCCAATGATGTAAAACAAGCCCTTTAACTAAACAATGATTAAAAGCAGTTGAAATGCATTTTACAAATTTTAAGTTCTTATTGGCCAATGCATGACATAAATATAAACCTTTAAACTTCAGAAATAAAAGGAGCAGAAAAGTATGCAACAAGAATCACTCAATCATTAATCATAAGATGTACCTACCGAATAAAAGTGTACAAATGCAAATCCCCTTGAGACATGAGTGAACTTGTCTCTCACAAGACGCAGATCCTGTAATTGATAATAACAACAATTTTTAGCACATAACTGGCAACACAAACAGAATCAACCCCACCCCAACCTAACAAAAGGAATAATTTTGCTCAACTATTTTAGTAATCAAACCTTAATTGGAGCATGTTTGGAAAACTCATAGCGGAGCATTTCTTCATCAGCATTTTCATCCAATCCACGAACAACCAAAACATGAGTTGGACCTGATTACATATAAACTTGTTATTTGCAGTACATTAGTAAAACATCAATGTTATATAAAGGAGTTATACCGACCTGCCTCCAAACCTTTCTTTCCTAAGGCTGCTGAATTTGACATTGAAATATCTGCCGCAGGAGCATCATCGGTCCGTGGCTCATTACACTGCAATAATGAGAATAGAACATCAAACCAATTCAATATATGCACACACATACACATGCACATGTACATATAATATAAGTGCTTAAAACTTAACTGAAAATGACAGACTACCCTAAACAAATTTAGACATGATAGTTCAAAGCAATAGGCATGAAGAAACACTACAATTCAATAATAGCAATACAGATACACAAATGACGCAGGGAAAAATATGAACCTGATAGCAGGAAGTCCGGCGCGCAAAATTGATGTAGTCACATACAGTGCATATCCAATCAGATGGTACTGTAATGCTTTTATGATTATGACCTGATTTCATAGCACCATCTGGACCTGGACCTCCAGTTGGCTTACTACTGCAACAAAATATAACTCATAATTGCAATAGAGATGCTTGTAAGAGCAGGATTTTACAGCATTGGAACATAAACACAAGATAGTTAACAAATCCCTAAAAGTAAAAATTACCTATATTCAAAGAATAGCTTTCTGCCATCCACGACAAGACCATCATCTCCTAGCTTGTCCATCATTCCTTGTGCAGCTCCCTAATCCACAATACTATTCTCAATATAACATTTTTGAAACAAAAATATATACCATTGGAAATAAACATGATTAATACCACGGAAGGAAAATCAATAAATGCAAATCCACGAGAGATGCCAGAATTTCTCTCCTTTATAACGCGAACATGACGAAGAGGCCCCCATTCCGCCTAAAAATATATAAATTATGATAGTAAAAAAAGAGTTATCAAAACCTACACGAGTAAATGATAACACAACAAAATAAATTAAGGAGCACATACAAGGATTTGATATAGATCTTCTTCAGTTGTCTTCTGTGAAAGACCTTTAACAACAACAGTAGCAGATGGAGCCTAGGAAAATAGCTTTAACATCAAATTCTCCAGCAGTAGTAAGATAATCACCTTTAAAATAAAATCACCATTCAACACATACCACAGAATAATGCTCACGCTGACGTTTATCCTCACGTTCCCTGCGTCTTTCACTTCTATCATATCGACTGTCAGGATAGCTGTCTTCTCGATAGCTTCGACCATGACTGCGACCTCGAGGGGACCCAGACCTTGGATGATCATCATATCCATGAGATTGGGAACGGGAACGAGAATGGGACCGGGATTGGGACCGGGATCTGGATCGGGAACGAGAACGGGAACGCTCATGCCTCCTATGTGGACTTAGATCTCCTTCCCGACTAAGACATCTCTTATCTCGTTCCCGATCATGTGATTCATGCCGCCTCCTACTACTATCTCTTCTACTACCTCTTTCATAATCAGAATCATAACTATGCCGACCATGATCATAATCTCTCTCACGGCTATCCTCCCTACGATGATGAGAAACACGGGACTTGTAGACATAATCATCATATGCATAATCATCACGGTCATGTCCTACAAACCTTGCAGGTTTATCATATCCTCGATCACCATAATTTTCAATGCTGGTATAGCCATCCCGAAACTTATCATATTCTGGGTATGTGTCAATCTCATGATCCCCAAAAGGATCAATCTGATTATATGAATCGTGATATGGCCTCTGAAAACGTCTAGAATCCCGATCAATTGGATAATCTTCATCATAACCTCTCCGCTTGGATTGACTCCAATGGCCAACAGCAGGTCCTGGTGGCAGATAGGCCTCCCTATCCAAAATGTCGCGGGGGAAAGTGTTTCTCTGGTATACAGCATCCCTTGGATACCTTTCATCCATAAACCGTCTTTCATCATAAGAACCACCAACCCTGCCAAAAAAAGGGGTAAAATGGGAGGAAAGAAAAGATAAAATTTGATACTATGCATAAAAATGAACATATTATCCTTATAATTCTAAAGCAAACATTATGCAAAACAAAAAAACAAAAGTAAGATCTTAATTGTACAAAATCTTAATGAGATGAGATAGGTACCACACTACCACCAAACTACAAGAAAACAAAATCCTCAAAGGCACAAATTTTTACCCATAGGCATTATATTACCGTAGTGATGATGATAAGCAACAAGCAGTTGCACTCACCGAAAATTTGGCTCATGGACCGCACCATAACCCTCCAGAGCCTGTGGATTCAAGAGAATAAGCTATGTCAGCAACAAATAATCAATGATGAGACGAGGTTAGGCAAATCCAGTCCATATCCTCACTGCCCCCACAGCTAGCTTTCTTTCATAATTCTCTAAGGGATGACAATCCCCCAGGTAAAAAATCACATTGAAACCCTAATAGTTTCTTTGATTAATCATCCCTATATAGGTGAATTATTTAAGGAGGAAACCACAATTACGCTGTTATTATCCCAGCCTTGATGCAGAGCATAGCGACCAGGATCCATTTCTTGCCAAGCAATAGCCCCCCGTTGCTCTCTAGATTTCGAATTCAGAAGCAAAATGGTCTCAAAACCTCTCCCTGTAATATATGCACAAACAGATAGATAGAGTTATCCACCATGAACCAACAACCAATAACTCCCATGACTTTTTGGACCGTGTTTTGGCCTCTCCTTTTCATAACTCGAATGGAATCCTCAAAAACATAAATACCGTCTTCCAAATCTTCTCTTTGTACACACAACATATCCATCAGCCCTATAACTAAATTTTTGCAAATGATTTAAAAACAAAAAATAAAAAGTAAAATTTATCAATTTGCAAATCTCAAACATCGCAAACAAACGGCCATAATCTCAACATATAAATAGAGTTTCAATTTGCATACAAATGCTTCACGAAAACCAAAGGACACAACAGAAGGGATTTTACCGATGATTTGGAGACCGCACAGGATTGTGTCGGATATCGCGATTGACGTGTCCAGAACAGAGATCTAGGGTTTTGGTCGCTCGCAGATTCAAAGAATAGAGAAGAAAGACAATAGGACTATGGAGAGAGAGAGAAAGAGAGTAAGAAGAAGAAAAAATAGAATTGGAACAAACGAGAAGGAAGAGATTAATAGCAGTGTTTAAGTTATCTCATTTCATTTCGAGAGATAAATAGACACAGAATAATTTTTTTATTTAAATTTTAAATTAAAAAGTTACTCATTTGTTCTTGATCAGATTTTTATTTTTCGTGTCTATTTTTTTTTTAAAATAACATAACTTATCTTATTTAAAATTACAAACCCGTTCGCAGTCTTCAAATGCGGTGTGATGAAAGTCAAGAGTCAAGACGTAAACGCCACTTGTTTTAATATCTGATTTTGCCTAACCATTAATACGAGTGTTACCATAATACCATATCCATACAGGTATGATTCTGTATATATAGGGCATTAGATACTTTTCTAAATTCATGTAATTTTAGATATATAAATTAAAAACTACTTATCATTGTAAATAAAAAAAATGTGTAAATTAACATTAATGGACAATCATTAATGATCATCATGAACTCAAAATTTCTCGTCAATAAAAGTTATTTTCTTTTTCAAAGAAAAGTTATTTTTAACTAGAGGTTCACATTAAAATGAACTAAAGTGTATAATTTATCCTCACCAAAAAAAAAGTGTATAATTTATATTTTCTCAAGAAAAGTCTAAATTTTCAAGATAGATGAGAGGATAGGGGAAAAATATTAAAATATTGTTTTTTTAATAAATAATTACCAATAAATTATTGTTTTGAACCTAATTACGAATATACTACATTCATTCATGTCCAAATTGGGCGTAACCATTAACGCCTAAGTTGGGCGTGACATTCACGCCTAATTTAGACGTGACTCGTCTGATGTTGACACGTGGCACAAAAAATTAATAGTTTAACCGCAAAATTTCATAAGGTCATAACTTTTGACTCGAGTATCCGAATCAAGTAATTTTTTTTATTCCGCATAACTTTTCAAGATCTACTCAATGATATCGCATTTGACATATTTTATCTCTCATAAACACAATTCAAATTTGCAACAATGGTACTATTAAAGATGGCACTAAAGTGGATTAGTCCATCTATAAATAAGGATATTTAATGTCATATTAAAATATATATTTCTACCAAGTGTTTGAAAAAAATAATGACCAACAAAGCCCGGCATAGTTGGCAGTGTTGGGTTTAATATGCTCTTTTACTTAAGCCCAATAGCTTTAGTGAGAGTGAGCCCAAAAAGACTAATTTCAACCCATGAAGCTTAGGGTTAGTCTTGGATTGGGCAGAGTATATAAACTCTCTTTTCTCTCTAGTGCCTCCAAGGGTTACAGACATCAGAAACACAAAGAGGCAGACGTTCATCATCTGAATGGTTGCCCACACGACCACCTGATCCCCTTGAGTCATAGCCTGGAAGATCAACCGTAGAGCGGAATTGCGACCGTCCGTTCGTGGTGCGTTGCTGCAGATCGTGAGGCTTGAGGAGGAGAACAGAACGTGAGAAATTGTCACGCTCGCTGCTTCATCTCAGGTAATCAAAGCGGTGTTCTTCATTCCTCATCACATCGGTACGATGCGCTTCCGCGTTTCTGATGATATACCTTCAATTAGTATCAGAGCCGGATTGTGATGTGGATTAAGATCAGTTTTGATTTATTCATTTTTTTTATGTGATTTATGAAAATATGGCACCTTTATTCTGTATCTGTTATTTAAATTCATGTTGATTGTTTATAGTTCTTTTTCATAAAAGTTTAAATTTTAATCGGTAAAAATACTTTAATTCATGGTTAGGGTCTCTCGTGTATTTCTCGATTTGTAACAAGGACCCTAATCCCATATGATTAGGTTTCCTCCTTGCTGTTTTTATTTATTTTCGGAATTTCTGTGTATTTTTCCAATATTTTGTAAAAGTTCAAGATCGAGAAACCGCGAGTAAGAATGCGCAGTCAGTACTGTCGAAGACTTTTCGAGGAATTCCCGATCTCGGAATGGGGAGATCTATATATGGTTGGAAAGAGGACGGAAAGACGAACGCAACGGTGGGTAGATCGCCGCCATCGGAGTCTGAACGCTCCTCCACGCGCCTCCACAAGTGTCTGAGAGTGGCTGCCACTCTCCGGAAAAGAATGGGAGAGTGAGGGAGCGTCCGACAACCTTTTTGGGTGGTTCCGGCGGCGGTGCACTCATCTCTATATGGCGGTCCTTCCCCTGGAGTTTCGGCCTGATTTGATTTTGGGTGACGGCGCGGCAGACCTGATGGCTAGGGTTCCTTTTTCGCGTCCTAGGGTTTCTCGCCAAAGGATTGGGTCTTTGAGCTTTTGGGCCCATGGAAACCCTAAAGGGGCTTGAGACAGATACTATGGGCTAGGCGAAAGTTGAATTCCAAAGTTGTAATATTTTATTGTTATTTTATTTTTAAAAAAAAAATAGGAAGGTCGTGGATTAAAGTAATTAGGATTTATTATTTAATGCTTTTATTGAGTGATATGAATTATATGTGCGATTAACATGATATTTGCGATAACATGTCATATAGGATAGGAAGGTGCCATATTGCTGCATGATCACATGTCATACGTGCATATTTACTATTATGTCATTACCGACTAGTATGATAGTTTATGCGCGTAGTTTTTGATTTTAAATATTCCGGTAAAATAAAATTATGATTATTATGATTTTGGAAACAAAATCTAGATTAATGGTTATATTAATTTTGAAAATTAATTTAATTATTATGATTTTGGTAAAATCTACAATAATCAAATTGATTAATTTTTGGAGTTTAAAATCAAGACAATTAGTAAGAAAATTTCCTAAGAGAATTCTTTTATTTTGCGAGTAATTTGTGAGTCTACTAAAATGGTCATGTGTTAAACACACGCTGCATACTACAATCATGTATCATGATTGCGTGAAGCACACGCTGCCTATCATGACCGGATTTTAGGACCTCAATGATTTCAAAATTCAGATAAGCTACGCTGCCTATCATGACCGGATTTTAGGACCTCAATGATTTCAAAATTCAGATAAGCTAAGTGATGCACGTTCATCGGCACTCTTTCTTACATAGTTTTTTGAAATCAAACAAAGGATACTCTCAATTAAATAATTCTTGGAAATTGGAAAATATTGCTTATGTTGAATGGAAGGAGATTTAAATTAAGAAATTAATTTAACTTTCAAGCGCATTATAAAGACCATTAATAAAATAATCATGTGAAGTCCCATCGAATAAGCATGATTGGATTTTATTAGATTGGACCTAAATAATTATGGGAGGAGATTTAAATTATGAAATTAATTTAACCTCCAGGCGCATTGTGGGCCTATCAATAAAATAATCATGTGAGGCCCCAACGGATTAGCATGATTAGATTTTATTAGGCCTTAATAATTTCAAAATTTTAATAAAGTATTGTACGGCTCATCGTCGATAATACTAAGTTATTAAAGATAATTTTGAAATTAAACAATGAATTCGACAGGGCTTATGAAAATTCTCAAACAAAAATATTGAATGGGTGAAGGTTTTAAAAATTAATTAATTTTAAAACCTGCGGGCTCCATTTATGGGTTTATTAGTGAAATGGTTATCGCTGAAGCCCCATCGGATAAGGATAATCAGATTTCACTAGATTAAATCTTAACAATTTCAAAATTTTAGTAAAGTATTGTACGGCCCATCGTCGGCAATGCTTAGACACTAAGGATAATTTTGAAATTAAACAATGGTTAATTACATTCAACTTTGGTAAAATTGTTAACCCTCCCATCGAGGCTCTGGCAATGGCACTGAAGGCCCAAATAATAATTTTGGTTTTTACAAGTGACTTGCCCATCGTAAGCCTTGTAAAGATAAACTGAAGGATTGTTAACAATAAACAAGAGTAGTTATGAGAATCTACTTGCACTTCGTTTGTTTATTGCATTATTTGTTTGTAATTGTGTGCTTTATATGTTTTTCAGAAAATATTTTAGAAATGATTTTGAGTCGAAAACCTCTAGATGGTACCAACTATGAATAAGTGAAAAGAAAATTTTTGATATTGTTCTAAAACATGGAAGCTAAAATTTGTCCTGACAATGCGAGGGCCATAGCAACCTGCAGAGGATACGTCTAAGGAAACTAAGATGCATTTCTCAGATTGGGAAAGGGCATATATGGTAGTTCGCTGCTATGTTATTGTCAGTCTTTCCAAATACTTGCAGAAGCAAGTGTACATGATTAAGAGTGGAGTAGACAGAATGCAGTCGGTGCAGTTTTTGCTAAGAGTCTTGTTAAACCCAAGGGTGGTAACAAGAACAAAATAACTTGGTTATCAGTTGTCAAACCAGTTGCTATGAAAAAGCCGCAAGGCAAGTTCTTCAAGTGCAGACTGAAGGGACACTAAAAGAAAAATTGCCCAGAGGTGATGAAAAGAACCAGACATGGGTATATTAAGGCCTGATCAGTGAATGAATCATTGATTCAGGAATCACTGATTATGTTTGTTACTCTTAGCAGTAGTTCAAACATGGTATGCCTGTCAGCAGGGGACAAAGATATTTTAAGCTTGAAAATGGGAACTTGTGTCTGCATTTGCAGTAAGACAAGTTATTTAATGACTATGGTTTTGGGTGACTGTTTATTTGTTCCGGATTTCAAGAGGAATTCAATTTTTGTTAGTTGTTTTGGTTAAAACATGGTTTGACAATGCAATTGATTCCTCAATTACATTTCGAAGTTCATCTTCGTCTTGTTTTTGTTCTGGTACATTGTTTAAATAGTCTTTATTACCTATGTCTTATACCCTTTTTTAAATTTATTATGTTGAATGGAAAGGATGATGAACAAGAACTTTCACCAAAGAAATAAAAGTTTCAAATGAAACATAACTTTGGCCTTTGTGATTGAGTCATATTATCTCAAGTAGGAAACATGTTTTAGTTAAAAGAGGGACTGAAAGTTCAATAATCTTTTAACTAACAGCTACATGTTAGTCCTATTTGGAAGGTAAAGTGGCCAAGCAATCCTACAAGGGCCAAAAAGGTTTGCGCAACTATTCAACTGGAACTGGTACATACTAAAG